AGCCTAGATGCATTTTATGTCCTGGTCATAATTCAATATATTTCTGTTAAAAAGCAATATAACAGGTCAAAAAAGAGTGATGGGAGCTTGGTTGCAGGTTGAATGACAACAAGCAAAAATGAACTTTATTGTCCAGGTGTTTATGTTTCAAAATGAAGAAATTAATTTGTGACTGCAGAGAATAACTTCAAAAGGCAGAGAATGCCCCCGTCACAGCTTTAACCTGCCAGAGGGGAGATTGAGATGAGCTCTGAGGCAGAAGCTCTTCCCTGTGAGGGTGCTGAGGCGCTGGCACAGGGTGCCCAGAGAAGCTGTGGCTGCCCCATCCCTGGCAGTGTTCAAGGGCAGGTTGGACACAGGGGCTTGGAGCAACCTGCTCTAGTGGAAGGTGTCACTGCAGGTGGGTGGCAGGGGTTGGGACTGGAGGAGCTTTAAGGTCCCTTCAACACAAACCAGGCTGGCATTCTATGAAAATTACAACATTTCAATACGCTATTTTTTTCCATGTCTTTTTTTTTCTTTTGGAATGAAGATATTTGTGATTTATTATTTTTTTTTCCAAGCATAACATATAGTATATTGGGGGGAAATAGACTTCAATCTGAAAGTAAGTTATAGGTGGTGTTTAGACCCAGCACTCTTGTGGGAGCCTACTCTATAGGTGAAGCATGTGATGCGCATCTGATTTTGTCCTCACTTTTACATCCTTCATGTTGTGTCCATCTAACTCTGGCTCTAGCCTCATGCTGATGTTGTTTGATGGTAAATAGATGTTTCCGGTGGTGTTTTCTTTAGTGCAGTCCCTCTGCGTTAGTGCTTGTGCATCATGTGGACCCAGCATCCATCTTGTTCTTTACCAGCCCCTCTAAATGCAAAGTTTTGAATTCACAAATATTCTTTTTGGTTTCCTAAGTTCAGATGAGAGTTTGATTTCCCTGGCTGACAGTTCGAGTTTTCCACCTTGCTTATCCACTTACAAGTCATTCATGCTTTATGAATACATTTGATTCATGTATTCCAGTATTTACAGTGATCCAGGGAATACGAGTCCTCCAACGGGGTCTCTTCTCTGATATTAACCTATTTCTTGTCCCAGGCAGAAATGAGGATGGCTAAATCTTGCTGCCAGTCCCCTCAATGCCCCACACTGGAATATAACTACGAACATACGTATTCTACAATGGCATAGCCTGTATTGCGATTTAAGAAAGACTTGCCTCTGGTATATTCATGGTTTGGCTTTCTAAACCAATTGAATTCACATTTCAAGTGTATAAGAAACCATTTAAAAACACATTTATTAATATGTTTTTCTTTCTATGTAGCAAAGATAAAATAATAATGAGTTTATTTTTCCCTCAAAGGGTGGTGAGTGTTAGAGGCTCAGTTGAGAAGGGCAGGGCTGGAGACCTTAAATACGCCAGCAAGGGCACATCTCTCCGCTAGTACTTTCATCACAGAAACTGTTATTCCGTAGGGGAATGCAGCAGCTATGCTATAGGGGAATGACATTCACTTAGGATCATCTGTCTAACAGCATCTTATTGCCATTGCCTTATCAGGACAAGTCACTGTGGTGTCTTTACAGTTTTCGGTTAGAAGGGCCCTTAAAGCTCCTCCAGTTCCAAGCCCCTGCCATGGGCAGGGACACCTTCCACTAGAGCAGGTTGCTCCAAGCCCCTGTGTCCAACCTGGCATTGAACACTGCCAGGGATGGGGCAGCCACTGGGGTTTGGGAAATAACCTCATTTCAAGACAGACATTAAAATAATCCTTGTTGTGGCTGTAATCTGTAATGAATCCAGGTTGCATTCATATTCAGTCCAAGATGAAGAGACTACAAGCCTCTGGGATCAGATGAGGAAGAATGTGGACTATTTAGCCATGAAGCTGTTAATTTCATTTTTTCCCTTCCATCCACGATAAGCATCTCTTTGTGCAGGAGGCTTGTAGGA